TTTAAAATATCAATTAGGGTCGCCACTTTCTAAAGCAAAATTAGAGAATTTGGCATTTAAAAGTAAAAAATTATTTAATACTTTAAACTTTTTTCTAACTCGGCAGTTAGAACAAAATATGAAACTCATAACCCCTAACAAAAATATCTCACAATTTACACCTACTGGGTTTAATGTATGTAAACTGGTGTTTTAGACTTGCTATAATACATGTTTTTCTATGGTTTACTGCAAGAACAATTGATTTTGATTGACAAAGAGTAATAAAAATTGATTTGAATGTAATATGTAACAAACATTCTTAATAATCTAATCATGTTCGTTTTAGCAAAAATTGTCGGGTAGCCGTCGGCAATGCAATATCATTACGCGTGATTCAAATACTTTCAATGTTTTAATCTAGTTATATTCTGGTGTTATGTAGAATTTGCTTTGTATTACAAATTAGTAATAATTTGTATAAAACTTATATAATTTTATGAAATTTTGTTTCACAATCTGTAAAAAACGGAAAAAGTTTGTAACCATATTTGCTTAAATTTTGCAGCTAATCAATGTAGAAAATCTTGCAAATGTAGTGCTGAATTGCTAGCTATTTTATTTGGTAGTGAAAAGTTTAGAAGCTAAAGGAAATATTTTTGAAAGAACTTAAATTTGACATTATGTTTGGAAGTTTTTGTTTCAAGTAATATGGAACATTTGCAAAAATTATTCAATTAAAAGTTTATCTAACAGGAGTTTTTGTGATGAGGCTTCTGAAATAATATTTGATTTCTATGCTTTATTCTTGGAAACATCGTGAGAACAAAGTTATAGAGAACAAGAATTGATGAAATTTGTGAAGTAATGGCTTGTGTTAGATTTACCGTGGGAGGATATGGTTAATCTAGTCTAGTTGTCTAGATGTCTAGACAAAACAAAATTTTCATGTAGTCTTGCAGTATTGAGATGAAGCACTTCGTTTTAGTTACCATAATGGATTCCGTCTGCAACACGAAGAAAAAATTTAAAAAATTGCCCTACATTTTTTTGTTAATCATGCGTATATACAGAGTGTTTCGCATAAGGTGGCAAATAATTTCAGGGATGATTCTTTGATCTATTTCCAGCAAAAAATTGTGAGGAGGAAAGTACCGGAATTTTTTTTGAATAAAAATAAATGCTTATAACTTCGGAACCATACGTTATATAATAACTCTATGTTATTATTAGGAGCTTGTGCTACATTGATTGTTCTTTATTTTTGGTCTTACATTTAATTTACTTTGAGCATGCAAATTTTCGAGATACAGCTTGTCAAAGTCAGAAATTTTTTATACAAAATTCGAAGTTTTCTCAAAATTGTTTGTTATTATTTCTGTTTTTTTCAATGCGCTACGATGAGACCTAAAAGTTAACCCATATAACATTTTCCTCATCTCTCATAGTTTTTCCAGTAAAACGTGGCAAATGTGTTCAAAAACATGCGAAAAATGCATTGTTTTGCAAATTCCTTGTTGCTAAAGGAAATTATTCTGTTTTAGAATAAAAAGTGGTACAAGTTTGATTGAAATTTCATATGCCAAAGTTTTAAACTCTTTATTATCACCCTTATTGGTTCATTCAAAGTTATGAATTTATTATTGTTATTCTATATAAATGATGATATTACGAAATTATTGCATAATTTTAGGGCTTTTCAAAACTTTTTCTTTCTAAACTTGTAGAAAAATATTGGTTTATTTTTATGGTTAAATTTAAAATAAATTTAATATGAAAAAATACTAATTAGAACTTTATTATTTTAATTTAAATACAGCTACATGCTGCACGTTAACACAAATTTATTGGATTATAACTGGGCGAATCTTTGTTTCTCTTTTCCTGAACTTTAACATTCACTTCAAATTAGTTAGAGACCGAAAATTGGAAATTTTATTATCTAATCATAGATAAGGGTTGGGTTATTTTAGATGAAAACACTTATAGCTTTCAAAAAAAAAACATTGTAAATGACTGGTTTTTTTTACTTTCCTGCTTTTCAAATTAGTCATAAAGTAGTTAAGGGTGTTTAAACAGCGCTTTTAAGAACTTGTATTTTAGATAATAATATCAATTTAAATTTATATTTTTCCATTTATAAATTACATTTATAATTACATTTATAATTTTTGTGGCATAATTTCATACGTTTGAGCTATGAAAAATGGCAATTTGAAAAACGTTGCTGGAAAAATTTTTATTCCTAAAGTTTTGGCCGTTTCTAATTGAAATCTCATTGCTTTTGGCGTTTTGAAGGAGATAAAATTTTTTTAATGTGGAAGAAATGAACAACAATTATAGCAACTTTAAAAATAATTTTTTTTTAACAGTAATAATTATAAAAAGTGTGGAAAAATTTAGACTTCAAAAATTTTAGAAATTTTAACAGAACTATGACATTAAACTCAAGTCTCCCGCCGCATTCATTTAAGTTTTATATAACTGACCTAAAAAAATAAATTGATAACAAAACAATGCGAAAGTAACAAAAAAATGAAATTGACAAAACCAGCTAAAAGAAAAGTGGCCGAGAAGCTTAAAGCAATATGCAAGGAGGAAGCTTTATATGTCAAAAACAAGACAGTTTGTTATTAGCTAAAAATAGAATACCAACATTTTAATTTGGTATTCTGTTTTTAGGAATATAGCGTAAGCTTCTCGGCCAACAGTAAATCGCCTGTTAAACATTTATAGGCAATTTTACTTGCCTATAAATGTCAATTATGATAACATAAAAAGAAACAAAACACATGTGTTAATATTGAATGTTATTGAAGATAATAAAATAAAAGAGAACTTTAAATAAAAATTTCGACTTAAAGGCAAATTTAAGCTACGGAGAGTTTGAAATTTGAAAGTAACTGTGTACGAAAACAGTGACTGTGTTTTTTTCTGGGTCCACATAAGAAATACTTTTATGCTTATTAACTTCTCATTACAGCAGCATAATTAATGAAAATCTAATTTATTACGAAGAATGTCTAATAGTTTTCATAAAATATTTTTAATGTAAGCACTATAGCATAAATACAACCTATTTTGATATTAAAAAATAAAATAGATTAAATACTAAAATATTATTTAACTAAAAATTATTACACAGAATTACGATAGAAGTAAAAAGTTTTCCTTTCTTGGAAAAAGTTCCGGTACTGCTTTTGTAAGTAGCCATGTATGACTGAATATTGTCTACAAATTTCAACTATTTAATTTTACCGCACGGGCTCTTTTATTCATATTTTTAATTTAAAATTTTGATTTAAGGAACAAAGAACGCCGAAAAATGTCAAAAAAGTTTTATATTTGCTGTAAAAGTAAGGTGTCCGTAAATAAGTAAATAAAATAAAGCTAAAAAAGGTAAAGAAAATTGTTGAAAAATTGATGAGAGCTTCTGAATCAGTTTTCTTAAAAATAAGGCACCAAACCTGAAAGCTAAAGTTCTAACTAGTTCTACCTACATTCAGTCATTCAAATCATGTCAAATCAGAAAAAAATGTTTTCCGAAAAAAGGGAAACTTGGGTTATATAATTTCTTTCTTAATGATGAAGTTTATCATTGAATAGTTTCAATGCTATGATATAACAACAAAATGAATAGGGAGTTATTAAAATCAGAGAAAATCGGCGCAAAAGCCGAGATTAATTACATGAATTTTGTCTGATTTGAAATGATCGCATGATTTGGCTTGACATCGATTGATTAAAAAAAAATGATAGAAATTTGTCCAATTTTCATCAAATATCTTTTGAAATTAAAGTAGCGGGGACTAAAGTTTGGTTATAAAACTTTAGTAACCGCTATTATTACACGTAGTTCTGACTGTGTAATATTTATCAATTTTTAATAAATTTCAAAATTTCAAATAACATAATTCTGAAATTGATTTCTTTAACAGTTAATCATTAAAATATTCTTAAAGCGTGATTGAAATAATATTAGGAAGAAAATTTGTTGTAAAATAGCTATTACCTTTTCACACTTAATTGAAATATAAAATTCGAACATGTACATCGAATTTCTGATTAAAACCATTAATTAATTTCAATAAATGATTAATTTTAGTTTTTGATATTTTATATTTTCATATTAGCTTACAAAAACTATAAAATTATTATACTTAATTATAGACTAGGTTTAACAAATGACTTGAAAACTAAGGAAACAACAAATACTGTCACAAATCTCAATTGATTTTAGTTGAAGTTGGCACTTTGCAATTCAACAAAAACAGGCATTTGTTTCGAGGATCAAAACTTATCTATTAACATCTTCCAATTTCAACAAATTGATTGAGTTCATTTCAATTTTTGATTTTTGACATTACATTTCCTAAATTTTATTTTTGTAATAAATTAAAATGAATAAAATAAAAATAAACTAATTACAAATTTAATTTGCAAATCCTGTAAGTATTTTTAATTTTTGAAGAAAAATTTAATAAATTTACTAACAAACTTGAATTTTCGAGTTTTCATCATAAAAAAAGTAATTGCTTACGAATTTTTATAATCAGAATTTGTATCTGATAAGTGCGCGTATACCTTAAAGTAAAAAAATTATTTAAATGCGGAACTCATGAAAATGTATAAGAAATTAGTTTGTGATAGAAAATGTAAAGCTTCAGATTTAATAGGTCCAGCAACTTTTTAAACTTAAATCAATTCTTAAAAAAAAATTATAAAATCTTAACATTCACATTAATTTAAATTTAGACTTACAAATGAGTTATGGTATAACAAATAATAACAAACAGTATTGTCAGGAAATTTTAAACAGTTCATGGTTTAGATTCAATCGTGGACTTTTATAAAATTTTAAATTTATTTTGATTTATACAAATGTAGTTTACTTAATTTTATTTGTAGCCAAAATATTAATTAAATTTCAAACCTAGACCTAGTAATAGCGTTATAAGTAAACTTATTAGATGTGGAATATCTTTTATATTTGAAAAAATATTAAAAAAAATTTTACTTACATTTTGTTCGTTTTTCTTCTCCAACTTTCTAAATCACCCACACAATTTTAATAATAATTTGAAAATTGTGTCCACACTTTCATTAATAAACAAAAAAAAAAAAGAACACAAAAACAAAATTAAAATTTAATTTTTTTATAATTTTAATTGTAATAAAAGGTCCAGAAACAGCAAAAAAAAAAAATTATAAACCGAAAACGACTGGATTCTAAAAATTTTTTTTTTCTTAAATTATTTAATCAAATTGCCTTTTTTTTTTGTATTGTCAAAATAGTTTTGTTTTTCTTCAAGTTTTTTCTTTTATTTTCTGTTAGTACAAAAATGATTTTAAATTTTACCAAAACTTTTCTTCATGTACACGACAAAAAAACAATTTCTTCTTTAAATTTTTAAATCTCAATTTCAAAATTCAAATTTTCGAAATTTTATTAATAATCTTTAAATGACAAACTTTGTATTTGTTTACAATTTTGGAATAATAGCAAATCACTTTAAAGTTAAAGAGCAAAAAAAATTTCAATTTTAAATACAAAAAATTAAAAAAAAATATTTAATTTATTTTTTTTTGGAACATATACATATACATATTTTTACATACATAAGTTTTAAAATTTTATTTTAAAGTACAAAATTTAAATACAAATTTAAAATTCATATAATATGAAAATAGTTTCAAATTTATAAAACGAGAGTCCCGATAAAACGTAACATTTTTTTTTTCTTGTTATCAAAATAAAAAAATTTAAAAATATTTAACACGATTTTACATACATAAATGAAAGTAATTAGACACACATCCAAAATGTTCTAAAATTATGCAGAAATTTGATGGCAATTTAAATTTGACGAAAAATTTTTATTTTATTTCAAATTTGTTCTCATTTAGGGAAATTTTTTTTCTCTCTTCGTTTCTGTTCAAATTATGTCTCTTATTGTAATTTCCTCTTAAAGTAAATTTTATAGTATTTACAATATTATAATTAATAAATAATTATTTGTGCGAATTTTTTAATTATTTTTCATAGATTTTTTTTTGAATTTACACAAAGACGAAAATTATTTTCCAAAATTTTGAATTTTTCATCAAATTTTTTTATTTATTTTTTAAATTTAATTTTCAAAATGTTTTTTTTTTTCTTAAGTATTAAATTTTTTCAATAGTTTTTAATTATCAATTTTAATTTCTGTTGTTGTTGTTATTATTATAGAAATTGTTTAAATGGTGGTGGTAAAAATTGAGAAAAAATAAAAAAAATTAAAACACTTAAGTATATATTTATTTTTTTTTTGTTTTATTTAATATTTTTGTTTTTATTTATTTTAAAATTTTTGTTTCAGTTCCTTGAATTTTATTTAAAATTTATTAATTTTATTCTTAACAAAATTTTATTCTTTCAATGATATTTCCACATTTGTTATCCTTTTTGATATTATGTGTGAAAATTACTATTTTAAAAGTCTTATACACATAGAATTTCAAGGATTAACAAAAATTATTCTATTAAAATTTTTTTCGTTTTTTGTTGTTATTGTTATTTGTTTGTTTGAGAACTCAATTAAATTGTTAAAATCACTTAAGAAATTGAAGAAATTCAATGGAATAATTTTGTTCATTAATTTGCAAAATGTAAAATTTAATAATAATTGACTAAAAATAAATAAAAATTTTTGATTTCCAGAATTTATTTGTTACTTTCTTTTTGAAAAAAAAATTTAAATTAAAGTTCAAATTTACTTTTTAATGTTTTTTTTTTGGTTCTTTGAATTTTATTTTTGTTTTTTTTTGCCAAATTATGGTCAAAATGTTTTTTACATGAAATTTTTTACACTTTTTATTCAATTTATATTCAAAAAAGTTTTCCAATTTTCAATTTTTTACTAGCCATAAGCGATATGATTTATTTGTATGGGTGTGTATTTATAAACGTGTTTTTTTAAATTTAAATTTTATAATTTTTAATTTTTTGAAAATTATTTATTAATTATCCTTGAAAATAATGTGATCATATTACTATGTAATTTTAATGATTATTTTTCAATTTTCTTACAAAGTTTTTTTCTTTTTTTTTCGAAAATTTTAAATTTTATTAAAATTTTTTTAAAATTAATTACAATTTTTTCCTTATGGTTGGTTCTTAACTTAATTAACACTTCATAGTTTACGTATGCTCACATTTATTAAATTTTATATTAAGATTTTTGTATTTAATAAAATTGCAATTATTCTTTGATTTTCTTGTATGATTTTATAAACGTTTAGGTGTTTTGTTTTTTACTTTAATTTATTTTTTAATTTATTTTTGTCACTTTTCGTTTCAATATTTATAGATAAGTTAATTAAATTTGTATTTTTTTTTTGTTTTAAAAATTTTTAATTTAAATTTTTTTATTTATTTTCAATTTTTTGTTGTCAATTTTTAATTAATCCATAATATTTTTTTTTATGTAATTTTTATTTTGTGTTCTGAAATGAAATTAAAAAATCAAAAAAAAAAAATTAATTTTTAAAACAATATAAAAAATTTTTCATTTATCTTAAACGAATTGTTAATAATATTAAAAATATTTTGTGTCTCAAATATTCAAAAATTTTTCACTTATATTAAAGTTTTTTCACTGAAAGTTTCTTTTGTCAAAAAAAAAACAATTAAAGTCACAGTAATTATAATAAGTTCCAGGTTCCAGTTCACAATAATTTTAATGTTTTTTTTAATTTATACATATATATACATATATTTTTTTTCTTGAGAAAGTTTTCTCTATATACATATATATGTATTCATTAAATTTTTCTATATGTATATATAGAAAATATTCAACAGGAAGATTTTAAAATGTGAATTTTTTTTTTATTTACATTTTGAAATATTTTATATATACATGAATGTGCATAATATTTATTAATTTATCTATGCATACATAATATTTATATGCAATTATATACACATAATATGTACCTATATATATATACATATACATAATATATATACATGTGATTGAGAAACACTCATCATAATATGTATATAAAAATATTGCTTATTATCATCACACATTTCCTATATATAATATATCTATATATATCTGATATATAATCATATGTATATATATATATCAAATTCAAATTTAGTACATAACGTATTGTACCCCTATATCATATTGTATATACATACTATATATATAATATTCACACATTTTCATATACATATTCATCAGGCACATGCTATATATAAATATACATATATATAGATATATATATCCATACATAAATATATACAATTGCAATATAACACATGTATGCACATTTTACTACTTTCTTTTTTTTTTTTTAATTTTGCGTTCTAACTTTTTTCAAATCACAATTAAAAACAATTGAATTTTATACGCATAATCTATAATAATTGTAAATCTAAGAGCATTTCATACTCGTATACAAAATCACAAGCGTTTAAAATACTTCATTTAATAAATGACAAATTTATTTGTATTTTATTAGAAATCTCTGAAATAAATTTAAAAGCAGCATAGCAACTGTAAAATTTTTCATTTTCAATCAAATTTAGAAATTTCATTCTTATAATCATCAAAAAACAAAAAAAAAACACAAAAAACACAATATGTATAGCAAAAGTTCTGTATTGAAAAACACTGGAGGGAAAACTAAAATCAAAAATAACCAAATATAAAGAAAAAAAAAATAACAAAATTGTGAAAAAACAAAGTCCCATGTAAAAATTTTCATTCTCAACTTAAAATTCTAATTTCAATCCATAAAAATTTTTGCTAATTTTTCATCTACTTTAATAATTTTTTTTTTAAATTAAAATAATTTCATACTTAAAAACCAATTCACTTATTGTAATATAAAAAAATTCAATTTACTTTTGTATTTATTGTAAAAAAATAATAATTAAATATTTTATTTAAAAAAAAAATAAACAAATAAAATTTTTAAGTTTTTAATATTTTTTTTTTGTAATTTTTTTTTTATTATAAGCTTTTTTGTTGCTTTGTTTTTTTTTTTTTATTTTTTGTATCAAAATATGTAAAACCAAAAAAAAAACTTAGAGAGAGCAGAGGCAGCAGGCGACTTGTATCGAACTGACGACACTACTGATGATCCACCGTAGTTTGGATTAGAACGCAACCGACACTGCGTTTTGTTTTTTTTTTTCTTTTTTTATTATTTTATTTTTCTTTTGTATTATATTTTTTCTCCATACAAATTCTGTGTGTTTTTTTCTTATTTTTTTACTTCCAACAATTGTTTGTATTTAAAAAAAAAAGTCTCCTAACTTTAAAATACTACACTGCTCTTATATATTAAAATGTATGTAAAATATATATATATATATATATATATATATATATATTAAAAAAGAACTTAGTTAAAGAAAATATAAGAAAAATATACTATGAAAACAACAACACCAACCACACTATAATATAAGTGAGGCAAAAATAATACACTACTAATATTAATAATATCTGTATATATAAATTGCATACATATATATGCATATATATAACTTCTATACTATAATAATGCAATAATTTTTTTTTTCTTCTATATTATTATTCTTCTTCTTCTTCCGTCTCCTGTTTTTACACACAAAAGTTTTATATAGAAATGCCATAATAATGCAAAAATTGCGCAAATATATGTACATATATGTATATGTATATGAAATTTCCAATTCACTAATATCATTTTATAATAAAATATAAAGAAATGAAAAAAAAAAAATAAGAAGAATAAGAAAAAATTTCATTATACACATTCATATTTACTGTATATAGCATACATAGTTCGTTATGAACGTGGTACTCACGATATACTCTTAATGTGCATGCTTTTTACACACACAATATATTTATATAATATATGCTTCAAAATATAATATGAGTTGATATTGTTGTATGTCCAACATGTGAAGCAGCAGAACTTTTGTTTTAAAATTCTCACAATTTTTCCTCTTCATAATAACAGTAATAATAATAAAATTTTAGAATTAAAAAAAAAAACACAATACTTTTAATATAGTGTGTCGGATACTATACTACTACGATTACATTCAAAAATGCTAACAAAATTTCATCCTCATTGTTGTTCAGTTGCTTTTCTTACTTATTGCCTCTTTTAGCGCTAGCTCTACACAGTCTACACTATAATATAAAAACTCTATAATACTCAATCTATGTGGAATAAAAATCCAAAATAACAAACCAAAAAAAAAAAAAAAAAATTATAAAAAAAAATTGTTTTTTGTATCTTAAGATATTTTATATATTGATAGGGAAATACTAACAAATACATATGTAAAAGAGTAAAACAAAAAGAAAAAGAATTGTCAAAAAAAAATTTAAGCCTCACAAAACTATAAAAGTGAAATCCCGGCGAATTCAAAATAAATTTTATTTTGTTTCTGTTTTTCTTATTTATTTTTTTCCCCATACATTTTGGTATACTCTTATTATATTGTATTACTCTCATGATTATTTGAAAGCCGATAATAACATTGTAAATGAAATTCTCTTCCAAAATTATTACGTTTAGAGATTAATTTTTTCTCAAATATACGAGACGAGCATACTGTATAAAGAAGAACCGGCATTTTATATTAAAAAAAATTTTTTTTTAATTTAAAAAATTTTGTTAACTTATACAGGTTAGAATATAGTTTACATAATACATGCATACCCTACAACAATCATTAAATTTAATATAATATTTTTAATTCCATACCGTAAAACAAAATGCAATGCAATTAACACTTGTGTATGTGTTTTCTTTAAAAAAATATGTTGCTAATGCAACAAATAATAAAACTACAATTACTCACAATTCGCAATATAAAATAATAATCTTAACTTTAATACTGAAACCAAACAATGACAAAAAATTTTCTCTTATTTTTACTTCAAATATAATATTTCCTTTTCTCTCATTAGTATATACACGCTAATAATAACTAGTAAATAAATATAGCTCTTATTTTTCTAAATGACAATGAATGAAAAATATTGAACATTTAAAAAAGAAATGCATCTACAATTCGAATTGTGTATGTAGGTACTATAGGTACTGATCTCTTCATGTTAAATTCTCTTCATGTCACTGTTATTTAGATATTAATAATATTATTCTACATAGCAATATATAAATTAAAATTTTTATTTCAGAGACACTACAAAATGCTATCTAATATACAGGTATAATATTATATAAACTAATACTTTCACAAAATTCTCAGAATATAATCACGTATTTACGCAAATTACAATAATCGTGAAAATACTCTTTACCAATTTAATTATTAGTTTTCCAAATATTAATAACTTTAAATAAAGTACAAATGAAAAAAAATTTTAAGAGTAAAATATTCTCCTTTATTTCTCATACAATAATAATATAATCTAAAACAACATTGCAAATATACATTTTCAAAATTGACAATGTTTAGCAACATTAAGGACCGTTTTTGCACAAAATTAAAGATCTCTTTAATTCTCTATACTTTATTATGTACCACATCTACACAACTGTATTCCATAAAAATAAATTCTCTCTTTAGATCCTCACCAATACATAAATATAATATTTATTCAATGTAAGAAAGATTTCATAGCAAAACAAACTGTGTTTATTAGAAATATTTATACAGCAACATTAAAATATAGCAACATTTTTGTATATCTATAAGAAATTTTTACTCTCTCTCTCTCGTTTTCGAATCTTTGTGTTGCTTAGATTTCTTGTGTATTATTATAAAATTTTCCTATATAAAAATTATTAATAATCTTATATAAAATTATGCATTCATGAAAATGTTGATAAACGTTTATAAAAGAATTTTCTTTTATTGCATTCATAATATTTTATAATATTGATAAAAATTGTTGAGAAGCGTAAACAACGAAAAGAAAAGCAAAAAAAATAAAAGAAAAAATTTGGAAAAAAAATTTTCACTGTTTTTTGAATTTTAAATATAAAGTGCATTATTATGTTTTGCCGCCGGAAATGAGATATTTGAGAGATTTTAGAGATGTTATTTTTTATTTTAGTATGTTTTGTAATAAAATAGAAAAACTATACTATAAGCTTTATAACTATTAATGTATGCACATAGTGTGTATGTTATATTTACCCTTCTTATATACCTTCTTATTCTATTTATGTACTTGTGTATTAGGAATTAATAATTTTCATAACAAAATTTTTATATAATGTATAATTTAAATACATAAGCCTTTAAAATATTATATATAGTATTATATAAGGTTTTTGTACTCATAGGATGTTAAAAAACTTATGGATAAAGGACTCAAAGTCATGAAACTTTTTGGGGAAATTTCTGACAAAAAAAAAAAAACTTTTTTTTCTCTTTCTTTTTTTTTTTATTTTTACTAATTTTAATATTTTTCTGTTATTATTTTTCAATTTTTTTTTCTGTATTAAAATAATAATATTTATGTAATATAGAATATGTATTTAAAATATGAGCATATTAAAATGAATTCAGCGATAATTATATTAAAAAAAAACTTTAAGGGTTAATCTTTAAAACTTTATAAAAGAAAACAAACAAAAAATAAAACTTATAGAAAAAAATAAATATTTGTTTCTTTTCACAAAAAAATTTTCTTAAACGGTTTTTTGTTTCTGGGCTAAATGCTACAATATAAAGTTCAATTTAGAGTTGAAATCTTTTAGATTTTTTTGTAAATTTAAAATATATACATATATAAAACACTTACGATGTAATAATAATGAGACATTTTTGAAAAATGTAGGAACAATGTACAAGAAATAAATCTGAAAATTAAAATTTTTTAAAGAATATTTGCTTATAATTTCTGTTATAGCATAAGTTTGCAAATTAATTGAATTCACTTCAATAATTTTTTTCGATAAATATATTCGATAAATATATTCTTCTGCTCATATAATTAAGAAATATGTTATAATGTAATATACATAACAATGCAAATAATTACGCTTTATAATACTAATAATTTGTTTTGAATTACCAAATCTACTTCTAAGAAAATTTTTGATTTTCTGGTAGCATTTTTAGAATATTTATATAACTTATAATATTCGAGAACTATATAATTAATATTATTATGTAGGTAGAATTACTAGAAAAATTCTATTTTGAAAAGCAAAAGCAAAAAAATCTTTCAGTTATTGCAGATTCTTGTGTGACTATAAAACTTTTCTACTTTCTTTGCAAAATAATTCATTGATTTTTGATGTACAAAATATAATTCTTAGTCCCTTAAAATTTTTTTGTATTTCAAATATTTTTACAATTATTAAAAATTAGTATTTGATTATAGTTACGAGTACCATGTTGGCAAAATTTGAATTTCACAAATTTTTTAAAATACAAATTTTGTCTTATGTTACATTAGTAATGTATGAAATTAAATATTTTAAAATTTTATTTAGTTACCAATATCACTCATTATTACTTTAATATTTAAATAGCATTAAAAAATATAAAAGAGAAATATAATTATAAACCTAGACCTAGCACAATAAATATTTTAAGTTTAAACAAATTAAGTAAAATTATAAAATAAAATTAAGGGTAACTATAGTAAAATTTTTCCTTTTTAATTTTAAATTGCTAATGTTTTAAAATACTTTATTTATTTTTGAAATTAAGGTAAATTTTGAGTTAAAAGCACATTCATTAATAATAATTTTCATCTATTCTATGTTTCAATAAATCATTATAATCAATATTCATATGATTATATGATCATATAATTAACAATAAGAGTATAGTTAAGAATTTTCTGAAATTTTTTGGTTTATGATCACAATATGAATTGAAACGCAAAATTTTATTTGAAATTAAATTCGACTTATCTGATACAAATAATTTATAATAATACGAGTATGCTATAAATATATATTCAAGTATAAAAACAAAAGTACAATCTGTATTTGGGATAGCTAGAAGAAATTGTTCTCTTCTGGTAATATAGTTTTTGGTTAATAAAGGAAAACTTAATGTTTGACAAAAAAAAAAAAAACAAAATAACTATCTACCAGAATATTAACCTAAATTACAGAGTAACAATTTAAATGAAAATAATTGAAAATTTTGAATAACTTCTCGAAAATAGCTAGATTTAAAGAATAAAATGAAGTACTCAATTCACAAAAATTATTATAGTTAAGTCCTCTTCAAGCTGCAATTTAAATAAATAGGTCTGGGGTAGCATAAATTAACTGGGATCATATAT